GGCTCAAGGTTGACTCAGCCTTCCATCCTTCCGAGGTCGGTAAAATGAGTACCCAGGATGTGTAGCCTGCATAATTAACTTGTAAACCGCCCAGAGAGTGCTTGAAGCACTATGGGCGGTATATAAGCAGCACACTTTGCTTTGCTTAGGAGGCTGTGCTATTAGCCTGTCCTTTCCCACTTCAATGTAGCTTCCCCTCCTGACTCACCATTGGCAAAAGTTTCAGGCGGCTTGAGGTGGGTGTCTTGAGAAGCCCCGCTTAGGTAGAACATAAGTGAACAATGGATGGAGGAGCAGCCAAACAGAGAGAGCACATGGAAGGATGCTGGTCCCTTCCTCTGGGAGAAACCTTTTTCTGGTGCCTTTGGGATAACAACTGCTTTAGAACTGCCAAGCTAGAAGGGACCCTGTAAATCATCAAGTCCAGCCCCTATCAAGGAGGCATAGTGGGGAATTGAACTCCCAACCTCTGGCTCCCAAGCCAGAGGCCTGAACCCCTAAGCTATCCAGCAGTTCTCCAGTGTCTGGATGGACTCTGGAGTGTGTGAGCATCAGAACATGCAGAGAGAGAACTGCCTGTATTTGTTTCTTTGTCTTTTTAATAGGCTGCCCTTGCATCCCTCCTACCCCTATTCCTTCTCCCCCACTTGGGTCACCCCACCTCCCTCTACCTACCAAGTCACGGGAGGCCAGTCTATGCCCTGGTGCCCACGTGGAGCAGGACCCTCAACCCCTGGCGCCAGCACAGAGCAAAATCTGCTCCAGAAACTCAGCCCTTCTTTCAGGAACCAGCCGCTTGAGGGTAGGTGTTGGAGGGCTGGACCTGGGGGTGGGGTGGGGAGACATGATTTATATCATAACCCATCAGGAACAAAAAAAGGGGGAAATTACTAGAGATGGGGATGGAATTTAAATCGAACCAGGAGAGTCATCCAACATTGCTAATCCATTGATTCAGATTGGTTCGAGATCATCTAAACTGGAGCTCCTGAACTTTTCCGAACCAACAAATTTTGGGTGAATTTATGAACTTCTGGTTTGTTGCCCGCAGCCTATCCCCTCCACCCCGCACCCTTCCCACAGCCCTCATTGTCTCCCTACCTTTTCCTGCCAGTGCCTCCTCTTCCTCAGCTACCACGGCCATCTCACAAACCCCACCACAGGCCAAGGGCCATCTGCGCATGACCCCATCTCTCGGCAGGGAAACAGGGACATGCGCCGATGGCCCCGGGCTGTCTGACATGCCAGATAACTAAGATGTCTTTTAAAAATTATCGTTGTTGTTGTTGTTAACTGGCTGTCAGCCAGTCATGGGCTATCTGCACATGTCCCTGCTTACTAGCTCTCACCCCTTCCTGGAACTGCTTTCTGTCAGCACAAGGACCCAAATATATCCTAGTCAGAGACAGCATAAAACGCAAGGGGAAAGCAGCAGAAACAAACCATTGAAGAACACTGCAAAGAAAATTTAAAGTATTCTCAAAAGCTTTGAGGGCTGGGATCTAATGATTGTTCTAGGTTTTTCAGGCTGTTTGCCCATGTTCTGGAGGTTTTTCTTCCCAACGTTTTGCCAGCCTCTGTGGCCAACATCTTCAGAGGACAGGAATTAGAACTCTGTCTGTGTTCTGGTGTAGTGTGTGGGGCAGTTGAGTAGTGGTAGCTGTGGGATCAGCTTTTTGTCCTTTTCAGGAGATTGGGTGATTATGGTGAGCAGGGTGTTTTTTTGTTATGGGTGTACCGTTGTGATAAGGGGGAGATGATCTGTCACTGTGATTGATGGGAGTTGTTAGCTATTTTTTTGTGTGCAGTGATCACCGGTCCATGTGATCAACCACATTTAAAGTATTTCTCTTGAGCTTATGCTAAAATGGAATGAGCCCTTTCCTCAAAGCAAGTGATACTCTGTCTGAAACCATTTATCTTTTTGTTTTCAGCCTAAGGTGCTCCTTGGTGTTCAGGTGAGGCCTCAGCACAAGGATGTAGCATTTAGGGAAAAAGATGCAGCCCACAAGCCCAGCCCCGGAGGCCAGGATGGAGAAGACCTGGACGGCCGCCATGTACTTCCCCCTGGTGCTCAGGTAGGTGGGCACGAAAGAC